ACAGCAGGATGGAATCATGCCATGGCAACTGTGATGCAATACACTTGACTTGTCTAAAAGACTGAAGAAAGAGTAGTTCTGAGCATTTCTGGTGGCATAAAAGAAACAAAACTTCAATTTTTAGATAAAAATACAAGCAAACACCTCTCCTCTTCTTTTTTTCTTTAAAAATCACCAATTCTCAAAGACCAATGCGTTTCCGTGCTACAATTAAGTGAAATCTAGAGAAGAATCTTTTATGCGGCCAGTTGGCAAACAGCTGGAAATCACCACAGAGGAAGACCAGGTAGATTAAGAAGGATGCTGAAAGCTCCATCATGACAGCTTACACAATAGGCCCTCCGCATAAGAATGCCAGAAATAGAAAAGCCAGGGGAACCGGTAGGGAGAGATAGCCATCTGCCACGCTGTGCCGCGCACGTGCTCCTGCAGGGCGAGGGTCAGAAGGAGGAGACAGGTCAGGGAGGGGCTGTTTAGATTCCTACATACTGATGAAAATCATTTGAAGAGGCACTGTCAACACATCATTCCTGATTTACAAGCAGTAGTATTGTGTCGTGTTTACTGAAGTACACTCAGGGAGTCTAAGGATTCACAAAACCAATATCAAACTATTGTATAAGCTGCCTCTAGTGGTATGCAGATAAATCTCATAAATATATTTTAAAATGAAATAAATTCATTTAAAATCATATGATACTATCAAAATACTACAAAATCTAAAATAAAAATAAAAGAGGTCACTGAAATGTAATTTAAAATAAGTTTTGCATTTCCTGTAATATTTTATTGTAATATCAGCCTGCTACATAGTCATGTTCATGGGGGTGATGGCAACATAGTAAGCAGAGGTAAAATGAGGTTCAAAAACACTGCAATAGCGGCTTCAAACAGGAACTTGTGGGAAGAGAAATGTGGACTGGGAGTACCCCTTTTCCACTGAATTAGCTCTAGTTCTTGAACAAGTTCCATTCAGGATTCAGCAACAGTCAACAATAAATAAGTCTTCTTATTAGGAATAAACCTGCATCCTGTCCATAGCTGAATAGGGTTGGCCCACACTACTGTATTTCAATGTCATAATGGTGGCATTTGGAGCCAAAAATTATTATTCTGACCTTATATGTGATGCAAACAGATTGACAAACAGTGGATTAGTTGACCAACAGAAAATGGAAGTTTAATGACAGTTTGTCAATGACTTAATCTTTTAAATAACTTTCTGCTATAGAATAATAATACCAAACATTTCTGCTTCCAGCTCCTTCAATGTTAGGCTTTTCAGTCTATCAAATTATAATTCAGCATTCCTCTGTTCAGCAGGCAGCTGTTTTTGGCTCACTGTACACTACCTGCTCAACACCAAACAGCAAACAGGCAAAGTTAGGAAAATAATGGAGCATTCAGCGGCTAAAGGACAGATACTTCTCTCAGGAGTTGGAGACTAAAACAGACCTAAATGGAGAGTGAATATTGGTTTACAGCTTGTTCCACGGCTGCTAAATAAATCAATTCATACTGCTTAATATGAGCCAGCTGAATCGCTGAATAAAGACTTTAGAAAGAATTTGATAAGGTTGGAAAGTGAAAGCTAGTAAGTGGACTTTTGAGTTTAGATGATTTTAATGCATATACTGTGTTCTCCTGTCATAGTGTATACTTTGCTCAGAAACTAAACCATACTTATATGTTTGTTGTAAATGTGTACATACAGTGTGCATTTATGTGTACAGTATGCACCTGCATGTGTACTTTTATGCAATTGTAGCACATGAAATAGCTGCCTCAAAATTCCCCAAAAAAGAAATCATTTTATAAAATCCTGTTCACTCTCGAGCTGCAGTGCACTGAGCTCTCTTGGCTCCAGCAGAGACGATTGCACATTCACAAAAACTCTGTACAAAAATTTCCAGTTTCAAAGAAGCACAGGGGATACAAGGGAAGAGCCTAACGGTGCACTCAGTCGCTCAGCTGTTTGCCCGTCTGCTTTGGAAAAGAGTCTGTGGCTCTCTGGTGAGTATGTGTGTGTTGTGTTGGGATCAGTGCATGATTACACACTGTATAATACTATGTGTGGCAGCGCTGTGATCAGACAAAGGGGAGTGAGTGGGCCTGAAATATCACAAAGCATCCTCCACCACCGGAGCACTGGAAAAGTAATTAGCTTGGTCTATTAAGCCTGTGGAGGTGGAAAAGCTCTGAGAATCAAACAGACACACATAAACATACACGCAGCAAGGGTGTAATCAGGCGAGGCAGTTACAAATGTTCAATGAAAGATGACTAACTCATCCTTGCAGAATGGCCCTGCTTTGTGGGTCTGCTTGATAACAAAAGCTCAAACATTCTCAAGACATGACCAACAGAGGGACAAAGACAAGACAATTTAGGATTGGAAGGGCTTATATTGTTACGGTATTGTATGGCATGGCTTATGGTTTAATATAATATCAAGACTAGGATGTCTTAAACGTGTTAGAGTAGTAAACATTGGTTATACCCATATAGAAAGCTGTGTCTACACTGGCTTCAGTACAGAGGAGTAGACACTTGGAGAGACAGGCCAGGCTCATCTTTCTGCTGATTATCCCAAATTAAATTTAGCTTAAAGCAATTACAAAGAGAGGAGGGGGTGAAACAAAGAGCCAGACATGGAGAACTATACGTTCTCGTCAGTGTATAGCTCTCTTGGTGGATGTAAATGAGAGAAAACAAGCTTCCTGCTGACTAATTTGCCCATAGTGTATGACTGGCATACGTTCCACCTCTGAAATTAGCATGTAAATAGCAACCTTGGTAGCGGAGATGGATGAACACAGTGATGTTAGCCTTTCCCCTGCAGCGGAAGCAGGTGCAGGCACAACCCTCTGCTGTTATGTGGAAACACACAGACAATGTAGGAGACTGGCAGGTTTAATGGGATTTTATGGGGTTTTTATTTGTGTTTTAATGAAGTTATGAGATGGGCAGTCAGCTTGGTCAGTCTGCCATCATTAAAATCCATTATTAATTGTTAGTTATTAATTTAGTTAAACTTTTAAACATATAAATTTACACTTTTCACTATAAAAGCACTGAATGTGGATCTCTGGACAGAAAAGGTCTGTCCTGTCAGCCCAGGAAGCTAATGTAATGTTGCAGTAGGTAATATATATAAAAAATACTTTTAATTATATGTGGTTCCTCTGGCTAACAGCACTCCTAATTGCATTTGCAAGAATCCATCGGGCCTGAAGGAAAGCAACCAATCAGAGCCAAGAAAGATGATTGTTGAGTCTCATTCCCAAGGCGTCAAATACAGACGCTTTGGGACCCAGGGAATGAGACTCAAGCCTCCAAACCAAAGCGTCTATATATCTTTCTCAGCTCTGATTGGTTGCTTTTGTCCAGACCTGGTTGAGTCTTGCAAATGTCATTAGGAGCTCTACAGCGAGCCAGAGGAACCTGATTTTTTTCATAGATTATGTCTCATGAACTACTGTCAGGATAGAGTGAACATTTCAGCAAATATGACAAAAAATTATTTTTATAACGGTTACCTACGGCAGCTTTAAGCAGCTACTGTGCAGAGTTACCAATTACTAATCCCATTATAACGGTTAGGCCTAGTCAGTCAGATGTCAAAACATTGTCATACATTACCTACCATCAGTTTGTCTTTACTTTGATTACATTTATGAATGTGACAATTAAATTAGAATATTATTGATTCATTCCAAGTATACCACCAGTGTAACATGCTGATAAATGATGGCAAAACTGGTCAATTATTCTACAGAAAACAAAACCCTAGGAGGACCTCAATACAAGATCAATTTGTGATGATGATCAGTATTTACTTAAATGTATCATATTGTTATACAATGTAGACTACAAATATAGGTGTCTTATTACATTTACGGAAAACTTCAAATTGAAATCACAATATTTCGCAATGTTCTTCCAGACAATCAAATGGTTTAGCACTACTTGAGAGCTATTACACAGATGGGTTTAATTGTGCATTTTCTTTTGTTCAGATATATCAGCAATCATGCAACACTGTCTTCAGTCTTTGGCAAAAAAAACACCCAAATAGACTACATCTAACACACTGATAGGAATGACAGTATGACAGCAGGTTAGGGTCTATATTGTCTGTGCTGCAGCTTCTGGTCCATTAGTGCACAGCAGAACTATGAATGATGACAAGCATTAGTATCACTCAGCCTGCTTTCCCGTTCAGCTAATGCCCTTGAGTTGCAAGGAGTTTAGCATTCCTAAATGTGTTTGAGAGCAGCCATTAACCCCTGCACCGGAGTGGTTAGCTGGCTACTATGGAAATGAATAATAACTAAAGGAATGGCTTCTAGCTGGCCACGTGGTTCCTAATGCGTGCATTAATGTTAATGATGGGCGTGCACTCTGAAGGCTGCTACATCAGCATCAAAACATACACAGCTATCTCTGGCTTTTTGTTGACTGTTGTTAGATTTTAATCATCATTTTAGACTGATTCAGTAACAACTGGCTGTCAACTTGCATCTTACACTGTAAAACCTACTAACCCTATCCTAGGCTGTAGCCACTGAAAGTATACATGTATATGTGAAAGTGTTTTAAACCTGCATTCAATGTAATGGGCAGCAGGTGGCAGCTCCATTGGCTGCAGTAAAAAGAGAGAAGCATGCACTCTTATGGAAAAATTATGGATTTATTAGCTCAGTAAACAGTTCCTAATCATTCTCAGTGAGTCCGTCCAGCGCAACGCATCAAACTCCGATCAAACTGTCAAGATTCTATTCCTGCATCAACTATTTCTCACCTAAAATAGTTTCAGAAACACATTTTAGTGTACTGTTTACACTTTTCACATTTATCAGCATTTGACGCACTACAACTAACATTTGTGAAATGGGAATAAACAGCTTTCATATTGGAGCAACAAAAACACTTTGCACTGTAAAAACGGTCCTGCTGCTGCTGCTTAAACACGCAAACGTGAGCGTGTCTGTGTGTGATCAGGCCTCCACCTGCACCCCCTGTGATTCTCCAGGGTCTAATTAACTGCTGCGCTGAACTGCTACCCCTGCTTTATAATCACACTGACACACACACACACACACACACACACACACACACACACACACACACACACACACAGCACCCTAATCAGCACACAGCCCCTCACAACTCTTGTGGTAACACACACAACTGAGACAAATAAAACATGGCTGCCAACGACGGAGCTGTCTGCCTCCTCACAAAGGCTCGTTTCAGACGCTCCCATAGCCATTTGCATTTTACTACCGGAGCAGCCTTTGCCTTTGTCAGGTATAGGTCACACAGAAAAGACTGTCCAGACACGCTTCTCGTTTTTTGTTCCTGTAATTGCTTAATTAAGGTGATTCAAAGAGCAGTTCAGCTCGTTTACCTGCTAATGATTGGTTGGGGTGGGTTCTTATTGCCTTGCAAAAATTACCTATGCTTATTCCAGTGTATGTGTCCCAGTTTGTTAATTAGCTCCGCAGAATAAATGTCAGGCTGTTACGAGCCGCTTTGAAGAGGGAAAAACTGATAGAGCCCTGCAATGTGTGAGCACTTTGCCACAAGGAAAGCTGCAGTGAACAACACCTACTGAGACCGCCAGCAGTCATCAATAATATATAGGTAAGTGATTCTTTGTCCCTTAGTAACAGTGCCGTGACTGCTCCTAATGTTCTGGTGACAGAGTTTGGCCACAGTACATTATGTTAAAAGTAGCAGTAAGGAGGTTTGTAAATAATGGTTGACTTAATATTGCACTGTATCAATATCATATCAATATAGGAAGCTTCCAAACCAACCTGCCAGGTATATGATGCTTGACTCCGAGGGATACAAAAGAGGCAAGTGAAAAACATGTTCTTGTACAATGACCATACACACTATCATATTAAATCTGTCTAAGAAATGTGGCTGTTGATGTTTATCTTTACATATTTTATCACTTATAAAGATTTGCCCAATGTCCTCTCACAAATATATAAAACAAGTTCCATTTTGTTTTCTATTTTTTTCAACCAGGAACCACACAATATTTGTTTAACAATATAATCTTATAATCTATAATAAGAATCTATATTTTCTTAAATGTGGATGATGCATTAAGACAGATTTGGCTCACATGATTTTTCTCTTCTTCTATGATTCAGAAAACAATTTGTTTGATATGGTACATGTAAATACTAGAATAATGTGTGTTTTTCTTTTGGAAGGTGTATTTTGGGTGGCTGATGAACAGTAGTGTCGTAAGTGTTATAAACAGTGGGATGGGCCAAATAATACGCAAATAAGACAGCAGGAAACAATAAATGCAAATTCAACCATACGTCACTTCCTTGTTTCTAGTTGTGACAATGCAGACCATGTAAACATGTGACGCAAAAGTCTCACATTTATTTAGAAACGCTGCTGTGAAATCAGGCATTTTAGGCCACAATCCCCCGAAAAAACCCAGTGAAATCCTGCAGGGACTAACTGAGTGCAGAGCTACACAATCTAAATGAATATGGATTGTAATTTTTTCACTGCATTATTAAGGCTCACAGAAAAATGAGGGGTCATTTGGAACTATAACATACACTTGTTTTTAGATCCACACTGAGACTTCATGCCCACTACCAAACTATCCCTCTTGCATCTTCATATTCTATCATCTTCTCCATGATTCTCTGTGCATTCAGAAAGGAGAAAGGAAAAGAGGGCACTCTTTCAGTGGATAAGACATGGATATCTTTAGGACATTTGAGTATAGGTGGGCTTTGACAAACACGAGGTAAACTGCTCGACCTCTCTTTTCTGGTGGCTTCTGTCAGGGCCATGAAGGGCATCTTTGTGTCAGACGAGGCTGCCGATGAGTGAATGAAGGAGGTGATGGGAGGATACTCTGAATGCTAATGAGCAGCAGAGAGCTAATAGTTACTGGCCACTTATAAGTAATGCATTTTTTCCACACACACATCACACATCTACACACTGCTCTAACACGGAGCACATGACTCACCGCACGTGATCATTATTCAGTCGATCCTAAGCTTATTACCTTCATACTATGGGCTGTCAGAGAGGACACAACATGCAGCAGTTGTGAAGACCCTTGAGAACCAATACTGACACGAACAGGGGGCAAAACACTCGTACCATGAGCCGACAATGTAATAAAAGACAGCAAATGCTCATTAATAACCATTAATGTCCTGAGGCACACGGGCAGCCGAGTGACTTCAATGCACAAACTAATGGATAGAGACATCTTCACTGAATCACATTCACCACGGATGAAGACGCTGCTTCTGAACAGCTGTGCGCCAGCGAGGCTGCCCTATTATCCACCTCACTGTCAGGGCCACACTCGGAGACAGATGAACTTCTTAATTCAGTAAAAAGAGAGGAGGAGGGGAGGAGAGGAAAGTCACTGATGCTTGGTTGAATCTGGATTGTTGTCATGGTGATGACCCCCCCCCCCAAAACCCCTCGCTCTCTGTCTGCCACCGGGTCAAGAGAGGAGAAGAGGAGCAAAAGGAATGGAGAAGATTGAGGGAAATGGAGGACAGATTGAATTGGGCGAGAGGATAGTTATCAGTATACGGAGGAGGAAAGCCTGCTGGGTTGCACCAAATTGTAACATAAACTGTTTTGGTGGTTTTTAAACTTTAACCCTTTGTAAATATAGCTGTTACTTATGCATATTACTTATACATGGATTAGTATGTGTTTCAGATTTAGCAGTATTCCTACAGTTGGGCAAATATCTGATTATGCTAACTTATCTGATGCTATGACATGCACCAAAGGGCCACAGGTTGGAATCGAACCTGCACTGCAGTAAGGACTCAGCCTTAGTATATGTGGCGCCGTGCCAGATGAGCTGCTGCCTCTTCACCTGTCACTATCCATTAAAAGTAAAAAAAATGCCAAGAAAATAATCTTAAAGAATGCTGATTAAATGTCAGTTATATTTCATATAAACATTACCTCTTTTTCTCTTTAATCTTAGCAAGTCACAAATCACAGTTACTGGGAGTTAGCAGCTAATCTTTACATAAAAACTAGTGTGTGTGGTGCAACCCGTTAATTCAGTAAGGTGTAAATCTCCACTCAGTAAACACTTCTGTTCAATTTGAATTTACAAAGAGCTGGTGCAAGCGGCTCCTGGTCCTTTTACAAAAGACACAATTTCACACTCGTCATTCTGACAAATATATCACATAATATGTCAAATATATTCTTTGGGGTCACTGATATCATAGCCAAGGGGAAACAGTGTTTCCTGTGTCTATAAACAATCTTTGCTGGAAACGCCGCCAATTTACAAAGTGACCACTGAGACATGACACATAACAGTCTGAAGGGCCCGCAGTCCGAGGCTCTGAATCACTAACATGAGACGGAGGTCAACAATGATGTTACATAAATCAACCTAGATGACCAACCATTGATCATTCCTGCCCTTTGACAAGTTGAAATACTGCTCTTCATACCCTTTTTTGGCCATTTATTTTTGCCACAATTGGATTTGGCTGGTTGTCTCCTGGCTGCTTTGGAGGATATAACTCACTTTGGCTGGTTAACAGCAGACAGGGCTCCGATACAATGATCCATTCATGTGCGGGGCTTCTGGGGTGTGAGATAAACAAGGTGAAAAATGCAAAACACTTTGGCAATAAACTGCAACCGATACACCAGAAAGAAATATCTACATGCCCAGTAGACAGTATACAGCACAGTTAGTGTCAGGGATTACTCTGAACTCCAGTAATCATGCCATCAAACAGTTGACACATCTGTCATTCTAAGAAAACCACTGGGGTTGCAGCAGCCTGTGTGGATTTGAATAGCTGATTAGATACAGTGAACCTTGTCTTCTACTGTATGCAAAATCAAATATTTGCATCTTTCCATGTTGATCTATTTCCAACGCTCATTATCACACCGCAACAGAGGACAGCGGATCCCTGCCACGTGATCTGACCTCAGCTTCATTTCAAGGCTTCTCATTATAATTTCTCTACTGTTTATTTATGAGGAGTCATTTTAGATTTCACTTTGCTGTCAGATTGTTTACTGTATTCCCTTCATGTACATGTTTGCATACTCTTACTTCATTCCTCCTATTTGTCACTAAAATGCTCCCTGCAGCTTTGTATTGAGACTGAAGAGACTGCTGTAGGCAGTAGCTTACGGTGTAACACAGTAACACGTTCTCACTCCCAACTCAAATTCTGCCACTTGGTCTGGCGAAGTTAGCAATAATAAATATGCAACATCTGGTTATGCTGTCAAAACAAAGTGACGTAAAGTAATGTGAAGCGGTCGCAGTTTGGTTAGGATTAAGAAAAGGTCATAAATTATGTAACATACCTGAAGTACGTTACCCGTTTACGTTTGGTTTCACACAGGACACCAACAGCAGTCTCCAGGGTTAAAGTCTTGTTTCTTTGAGGCATCCATCCACCCCACCACCTCAATAGCTGTCACTCTTTATACTATCTGACCTGACTTTAACAGCAGGCGTGTCCAGAAATTAAGCTAGCGGGATACCTACAGCATCACTTTTTGAAGTGGATGCATGCTTCCATGCTTAAAACTGCATCAATGTTTTGATATTAACAATGGCTCCAATGACTGTGTAATGTAAGAGGGGTCACTGTCATGCCATTCAGCTCATTGTTTTGGTTTTATGTCGGGTAAATAAATATTGAACTTGCATGTCATGCTACCACATTCACCAAAACAACTTTAGAAGGTGATAATATGTCAAGGTTGTTCCACTGCCCCCAAGTGGCCAAAAACATCAACTAAACCTGCTTTAACAAAGTAATGCATTGACAAGATTAATATTGATCTTCTCAATGCATTATTTGTACTCTCTCTGTAGGCAAGGAACCAGGATTCTGGCATGGGAAGTGTTCTGGTTCAGGCTGTAGTATTGAGTATTGAACAATCGCGTTTGAGCAACTTTGGTTGCGTACAAGTAAACAGTGTGTGTGAAGGGCAAAAGAAGCAGAACACATCAGCTCTTCTCCGACAGCTATTTAGCTTTTGATTAGCTTTTTGAAAATATATCTCCAGATATGTGTTTATAGAGATTAGCTGGAATGTGTCTTTCTCAAGTATCAAGTTGCTAATCAGACTGCGGAGGAAGTCTTTGTCCAGATATTTGCAACATTGGCCATTGCTCGAGATTGCATTCTCGGAGGAAAGCTCTTGTATTTCCCAATATTTTGAACTATTCCTTTAAACACATTATAATGTAGCTGGCTGCTTCATGCACCTGCGGAAATGTACATCCTTTTTATCATTCATTTTCACCAGGAGATGCATCTGTTTCACTGCCGTTTGTGTTCCGGATTATATCTCTGTAGCTGACTAACTGACAGGCTAGTTGAGTCAGACGCAAACTGCAAGAATATAGTCAGCCCTGCGCTACAGTACGACTGAGTCATGCACGAGAGCAAGCTCCATGTTTTTTGTGGTAAAAATAAGAAGGATGGAAAGAGATATGAGCCATTCAGTAACATGAACCTGCAACCAAGATGATATTTAAGAAATGGAGAAGTACAGTGGCGAGAGGGCTGGGTGTCAGTCTCTCTTTGAGAACAAAACCTGCTCAATCCATCTTTCCATCCTTCCATCTCTGAATGGGACTGTAGATCATATTCCATGTCTCTTGAACGTGAGCTCAGAGAGAAAGACGATGATGAAACCTTACATTTCTGCCTGTACATTTCTTCAGGAAGTGATAGAGAAGAATTTTCAGTGTCACACAAACACACTATTTCAACCTCCACACAACAGGAAGTGAGAAACACTTCACTGCGGTATACCAAAATATCATTTCCTGTTGCAGCTGTTTGGCTGTGTAACGCTTTAACTTGCAGCTTAAAACTTTGTCCATGAAGTCATTCTCACATCCTATATTCATTTTTTTTTTTATCAGTCACTTCCTACCCTCCAGAGCATCAACATCTGAAAGAAGAAACCCGAAACACACTGTAGTAACAGTGTCAGTGGCAGGGGAAGGACAAGGCCACTCGATCAGAGGCCCTAACTGACAGTAGCGTTGTGTACCTTGTCTCAGATCTGCAGCTGCCTCTTGTCCTCTGTCCCTCATGACCAATTAAGCAACACAGACAGGCCTATTCCTGAACACTGGCACATAAAGGACATCTGAGCAAGCCTATAATGGAACAGCTTCACCTTGGGAATACACAGG